CACTTATCTGTGAGGGGTTTTTTGTTTTTGTTTTTTTCTTTTTCTGTACTTCACCTTTAAGTAACTGGAATTTATTTCAAAACCTTTAACCTTCACTTTCTAGGATATATGTTTTCTAATTGCTTATTACAGCATATTACATATCTCCAATAGATCAAACTTGTTTATTAGTTCAGATCTTTACATCGTTATTAATATTTTACTTGCTTGACGTTTCAAAGATTGAGAGAGGTATGTTGACATCCTCTATTATGATAGGATTGTCAGATTTTATTTACAATTTTGAAAAAATATATCCTGAGGAAATTGTATCTTCTTCTATATATATAAAAGGCTAATATGCAAAGTGTCCCCTCGGGAGTTCGACCAGGAGACCAGGAGTTCGATCACTTGCTATGATGTATGCTGACCACCAGGGGGCAGCACAAAAATGAATGAAGGCCCTGGCTGGCAGCCGGAAGGCCCCGATCAGCCCTGGTCATCTGTCAGGCCTAGGGATCCTACCCATGCATGAATTTTGCGCACCGGGCCTCTAGTTAGGTAGATAAAAAATTAGAATTAATATATCCTCCTGTTAAATTGAACCTTTATCATTCTGTTGTGACCTTCTTTAATAATGCTTTAAGTTGATTTGGTCTGATATAAATACAGCTCCCAGCTTTTTTTGGTTAATGCTTTCTAGCATTGTCATGTAATCATTTCACTTTTCAAGAAAATTGAGATAAAATTTATCATTTGAACCATTTTAAAGTGTTCATTCAGTATTTTATTTTATTTTTTATTAAATTATTATCTGTGTACCTATATTACCATTGCCCCCCCCCATATTCATTCAGTATTTTTTAATATTTTCATGTTGTACAATAATCACCACTATTTCATTCATCCTTTTACTTTTAACCTTATCATCCTTATGTTTTAGGTGTCTTGTGCATAATCTGTAGATAGATTTTGTTGTTATGGCTGACAGTCACTACCTTTTTTATTGACAATCTGAATGAAACAACAGTTGAAAAGTCCTTTTCTTTTGCCCTATCCAGAGAACAAACTCCCCTGTTTCCCCAAAAATAAGACAGTGTCTTATATTAATTTTTTCTCCCGAAGTTGTGCTAGGTCTTATTTTCAGGGGATGTCTTATCTTTCCTTGCGCTAAGTCTTATTTTTGGAAGATGTCTTATTTTGGGGGAAACACGGTATCAGGCATCTGCCAGGATGAGGGAGGAGCAGTTGCCTTTTGGCGTGGAGCTGGAGAAGGAATCTGGAGCTTTAACTCTTTCTCGAACAGCTCTCATTCAATTCTTATTTTAGTTACCTCCCTCTCTCCCCCAGTTCCAGAGTACCTGGTGCTGGTATAATAATTTCCAAACCATTTGAAGACTGCTATAAACAAGGCTAATTCTCTTTCTCTTTTTTTTTTTTCCTTTTTTTTTTTTAAACCTTTATTGTTCATATTATTACAAAAGTTCCTCATTTTTTTCCCCCCTCCACCAGGTTCCTACCCCACCCTCTGCCCTTTCCCCACCCCCATTGTCCTCATCCATAGGTGCAGTTTATGTTCAGTCTCTTCCTGCACCCCCCACTCCTTTTTTCCCAAAGAATCGTCAGTCCACTCCCCTTCCATACTTCTGATTCTATTATATTCAACAGTTAATATTGTTCAGCAGGTTTTTTAATTCCCTTGGTTTTTAGATTCACTTGTTGATAGTTATGTATTTGTTGTTCATATTTTTATCTTTTTTTCTTTCTCTTCTGAAAGAACCCCCCTCAGCAATTCATATAATTCTGGTTTGGCGGTGATGAACTCCTTTAGCTTTTTTTTATTAGTGAAGCTCTTTATCTGGCCTTCGATTCTGAGTGATAGCTTTGCTGGGTAGATTATTTTTGGCTATAGGTTCTTGCTCTTCATCACCTTGAATATTTCTTGCCATTCCCGTCTGGCCTGCGTGGTTTCTGTTGAGAAATCAGCTGACAATCGTATGGGTGCTCCTTTATAGGTAACTACCCGTTTCTCTCTTGCTGCTTTTAATATTCTCTGTTTGTCTTTTGCTCTTGGAATTTTAATTATGATGTCTCTTTGGATTCCTTTTGTTTGGGGTTCTGTGCGCTTCTTGGACTTGTAGGTCTAATTCTTTCCCCAGGTGGGGGAAGTTTTCTGTCACTATTTCTTTCAGTATGTTTTCGGTATCTTGCTCTCTCTCATCTTCTGGGACCCCATAATTCTGATGTTGGTTCGCTTGAAGTTGTTCCAGAGGCTTCTTACATTATCTTCAACTTTCTGGATTCTCTTGTCTTCTTGCTTCTGCAGAGGAGTATCTTCTGGCTCTTTATGTTCCAAATCTTTGACTTGATTCTTGCAATCTTCGATTCTGTTTTTAGGACTCTGTATAATATTTTTTATTGCAGACAATGTGTTCTTAAATTCTTGTTGATCCCTTATTATTTCTTGTTGATCCCTTATTATTACTTGTTGATCCCTTATTATTTTTAGTTGATCCCTTTTCATATCCTCATACGTCTTATCGACCTTTTCTAGGAAATTCTTGAAAAACCTTATAAGCATGGTTTTGAACTCTATATCCAGTCACTTTCTGTCCTCCATTTCTTTTCGTTTGTGATCTGTTTCCTTGTCTTGGCATTTTTGCAGCTTCCCTGAGTTGGTATCCTTAAAAGTCTCTGTGTTCAGCTTGGATGGGGCGGAGTTTTAGGGTGGAGCCTACAGCCTTGGCTCCCGTCAGCCACGCCCTATGAGACTTCTGAGTCTCAGTATTCCTCAGGGTCCTTCAGTACTCCTTGCAAGCACCTCGGAGAGAAAGATGCCCTTGAGTTTTGCCTGCTACCAAACAGTCTTGGCTCTCCCCCAGTGAGCTCGGAACTGGAATTCAGTGCAGTTGGAAGTGGAGTTGGAGGTGGTGTTCAGAGCAGTCTGGAGCTTTTGTCTCCTTCCCGCTAGGGCAATCAGTGGCACAGTCAACCGCCCGTTTTCTGCGCACAATGTGCACACCTCCGGGACTTCCCTTTGCCACTGCCCTGGATTTCCGCCTAACAGCCCAGGCTCCCTCTGTATGAGCCTGGGTCCCCGGGGTCTGGCCTAGAACTGGGGTTCAGAGCAGTCGAAACTGGGGCTCAGCACAGTCCAGAGCTTTTGTCTCCTTCCCACTAGGGCAAACTAGCAGCAGAGTCAACAGTCCATCCTCTGCACGTGATGTGCGCGCCTCTGGGGGCTCTGCCATTCGCCGCTCCCCTAAGATTCCACCTAACAGCCCAGGCTCCCTCTGTATGAGCCTGGGTCCCCAGGGTCTGGCCTAGAACTGGGGTTCAGTGCTGTCGGATCTGGGGTTCAGCACAGTCCGGAGTTTTTATCTCCTTTCTGCTAGGGAACACCAGTCAGGCATTCAGCCTCCCCCTCCTCTACGGCTCTGTCCTCTCCGCGTGCGCAGCGTGTCCCCGTACCTTAGGCTTTTCAGCTCCTCTGATTTTCCTTCTGGTTTTCTCTTTCCTTCTCATTGTAGAATTTCCAGTCAGTTGACTTTCCTGGAGTTCTGGGTAATGTCCATTTTGTATTTTAGTTGTATTTTATTGAAATTGTTGTGTGAGGCTGTAGTTAGGTGTTACCTATGCCGCCATCTTGGATTCTCCTTTTTTTCTTTTTTTTAAATATATTTTATTGAATTTTCACAGAGAGGAAGAGAGAGGGATAGAGAGTTAGAAACATCATTGAGAGAGAATCATCAATCAGATGCCTCTTGCACAATCCCTGCTGGGGATGTGCCCGCAACCAAGGTACATGCCCTTGACCAGAATCAAACCTGGGACGTTTCAGTCCGCAAGGTGACTCTCTACCCACTGAGCCTAACCAGTTTCAGCTGATTCTCTTTTCTCCATCTGTTTTCCTGCTTCCAAAATGTTGCTTTTGTCACCTCTACTGTTTTCCCTTCACCATCCTTGTGGGTTTATATCTTTATATTTTTATATACATATATATTTTTTATTTATATTTATATATAAATATAGAGGCCCCCCAAAAATAATAATAATAATAATAAAGAAAATTTAAAAAATAAAATAAATATAGAGGCCCAGTGCACAAATTTGTGCATAGGTGGGGTCCCTCGGCCTGGTTGGCAATCAGGGCCAATTGGGGGAGCTGGCTGGCTGGGGGGAGGGACTGTGGGAGGTTGGCCAGCAGCAGGAGGTTGGCTGTGGGAGCACACACACCACCAAGGGGCACCTCCTGTGTTGTGCGTCTTCCCCTGGTGGTCAGTGCATGTCATAGCAACTGGTTGTTCAGTCATTCTGTCACTTAGGCTTTTATATAGATAAATATCTTGATTATAGTTTTATTGGGGATTTTGGAGAGAAAATTAGATGTGATGTACTTTCTACCATCTTAACTTGAAATTCTCCAATTTTTAAAATGGCAACTCCTGGTGTATTTTTGGAGGTCATAAGTGATATGTTCTTATTTATAGATAACTTAGAATATAGGAAAAGTATAAGATAGTTAAACATCACTAATTCTACCATATAGAAGAAACTTGTTAACATTTTGATATACCTCCAATCTGTTTTCTAGATTTGTATAATTATTTATATATATATAATTATTATTTATATTATTGATTTCAGAGAGGAAGGGGGAGAAAGAGAGAGCAAAAATGAGCAAAAATAATTGATTATCTGCCTCTTGCACACTCCCCACTGAGGATCAAGCTTGCAACCTGAGCATGTGCCCTGACCGGAAATCGGACTATGACCTCTGGTTCATAGGCCGATGCTCAGCCACTGAGCCATGCCAGCCAGGCTCATATTTTTTCATAATTAGAATCATATAGTGTTTTAGTATTGTTTCCTTCTTTCTTCGCCTAATTAAATCATTTTTCAAGGTCAGAACATAATCTTTGAAAACATTACTAATGGGTCTATAACATAACTATTATTTTACACGATTCAACATGAGCAATTTCCCATGTCACAACCTAATTTTTAAAAACAAAATTTCTGTGCATACTTCAGCAGCACATATACTAAAATTGGAACAATACAAAGAAAATTAGCATGGCCCCTGTGCAAAAATGGCATGCAAAATTCGCGAAGCATTCCATATTAAAAAAATTTTTTTAATGGGTTTGTAATATGGCTATCATATGACATTGTCATGATTTATTTATCTAGTCTATTGATAAAGATTATATTTTTTTCTAATCTAAATTAGGCTGTAAACTTCAGGAAGTCAGCATAAGTGTTTTGTTCATGATTCTCTCCTCAGTGCTTAAACCAGTGTCTAATATAAGTGGTTTAGAGAATGTTCTGTTAAGTAAATGAACAGTTTTGCACAAAAGTCAGATTGCTTCCTTAAGTTAAAATTAAAAATGGGCTCTTACTGGGGTAAAAGGTATAAACTTTTTGAAGGTTCTTAATAGTTTATTTTCCATTTGTTCTTTGATTCAGAATAAGAAACAAGGATGCAATAATGAGGAGGTACTTGCTGTACTAGGCCATGAACTGGGGCATTGGAAGTTGGGACACACGGTCAAAAATATCATCATTAGCCAGGTAAGTTTGGAAAGAACTCTTTGTATGGCATGGTAGTCAAATTTGAAGTATGGCAGGTAGGAGAGATATAGGAGAGAGGTTAAGACAGACTCCATAACCTGGCCACCTGCTTAACATCAAGGCTCCCTGACTCACTACATGTGTGACCTCAGGCAGTTTCCTGAACCTGTCTGCCACCATTCCCTTTTTGAATGATAACACCTCAAAGGACTAATACAAGAATTAGATGAGTTAATATATGTTTATAGAAGTACCTGAAAATTGGTAAGTACTATAAAGTATTTATGGTTATCACCATCGTCATCATTATCTCCTGATTCACCAAACTGTGGGAGCTGTAAGATCAAAAGAAGTGAGCCCGCCGAAACCAGTATGGCTCTGGTTTGGCTCGGTGGATAGAGCATTGGCTTGCAGACTGGTAGGTCCCAGGTTCTATTCCTGTCAAGGGGACGTACTTTGGTTGTGGGCACATCCCCAGTGGGGCGTGTGCAGGAGGTAGCTGATCGATGTTTTTCTCTCTCATCAATGTTTCTGGCTTTCTAATTCTTCTCCCTTCTTCTCTGTAAAAAATCAATAAAATATATATATTTTTTTAAGTGAACCCAAAGAGGTTGGACATTAAAATGCTTTGATAAAAACATTTTTTTCTCATTAAAAGGCATTATACATCTATTTTTTTTTTTTTTTTTTTTTTTTTTCAGTTTTAGAACATTAAAAAATTTTTAATTAATTTTTGGAGAGAGAGACATGGATTTATTGCTCCACTCATTTATGTATTCTTTGGCTGTTTCTAGTATATGCCCTGACTGAGGACCAAACTGCAACCTTGTGGTTCTGGGACAACGCTCCAACCAACGGAGCTACCATCTGGTCCTAAACATTTTTACTACCCCAGTAAGATCCATCATGCCCACTTACAATTAATTCAACTTAAAAAAGGCATTATACATCTATTGATAAGACACTGGAAACGCAGTGAATATAAAGAAGAAAGCAGCAGTTCCTGTAGCATTGCTCCTTCGGGCACGAATGCCTCTAACGCCACAGAGTGGCCACACGTCTGCAGGCTCTGCGGAAGCAGCACTGCATCTTGCTGACTAGAGCCGAGCATTTATGGGCGTCACTGAGTCTCACGTGGGACTTTGTACCTTTCTAAAAGCCACCTGGTTCTGGATGATGAATTATATGGGAAGATTTATGAGTCCTGTGGGCACTTCCCTGTTGTCTTAACATGTATAGGTATAAAAATGAGTTCCTTGTATGGATACACATCAGTGAGTAAGACTTTAAATAAATCCAAATTCAGTCTAATAAGGAAAATCAAACGCCTTTTCATGAAAGGAGGGGTCCAATGGAATCAGTTTACCTCACGTGAGGTTGTGGGCTGGTCCCTAAGGTGTGGTACTGGGGCTGGGGTGACAGCCTCCCCTGAGATTGGGCACCTGGCAGGAGCCGGTGGGGGATGTCTTAGGTTGTTGACCGCTGCACTGACTCCATCCCTATTGCCTTGGCTGTTTGTTCCTGAGTCCCTCAGCCAGGTTCTTGAGTGACAAAGCAGGCATCTTCTCCACCTGATCAGTGAGAGCTTCCTCTGTGGGACTCCTGGTGAACATTCACCTTAGACCACTGAATTAACACTCTCAGTACTAATTCTGGAAGTTTTCCCACATCCCTTTTTTCCAAATCTTATTAGCCATCCTCTAGTTCAGTGGTCGGCAAATCGCTACTCGCAAGCCACACGCAGCTCTGCGGCCCCTTGAGTGTTCTAACACCACTTCTTCAAAATAGACTCGCCCAGGCTGAAAACCGACTTCTGCACACGGGCCACTTCGAAGTTCCAATCGACTGTACGTGTGCGCCCGCACGGGGTGTTCTGTGGAAGAGCCGCACTCACGGGGCCGCTTGTGGCTCGCGAGCCTCTGTTCGCCAACCACTGCTCTAGTTCGTTCCAAAGCCCTGATCGTCCGGCCAAACCATTAGTGGTCTACTGCTAGTGCATTTAGGGGTGTCGAACTCAATCAGAGAAGGGGCCAAAATCTAAAATCCAGCCTAAATCGCGGGCCGAATGGTTTACTCAACAGTCATAAACTGTCATTGTGATGGAAACGCAGCAGAGTGCAGTGATGACAGCGCGGTGCGGGCCACATTGCAAGGCCTGGCGGGACGGATTTAGCCCGCGGGCCTTGTGTTTGACACATGTGGACTATATATATAGCCTCAGCTTAGACCCTCTCTCCCTCTCTGCTTCCAGACTGAGGGAACGGTGATATAAACTACTTAAAGTTCCTCGTGAAGAGTATTTCCTTTTATTTTATTTATTTATTTATTTATTTATTTTGTTAATCCTCACCCAAGGATATTTTTCCATTGATTTTTAGGGAGGGAGAGAGAGAGAGGGAAAGACAGAGAGGAAACATTGATGTGAAAGAAACACATCGATTGGTTGCCCCCTGCACGAGGCCTGACCAGGGCCCAGGCTGGGGAGGAGCGTGCAACCAAGGTATGTGCCCTGGACTGGAATTGAACCCGGGACCCTTTGGTCCGCAGGCCGACACTCTATCCACTGAGCCGAACTAGCTAGGGCACGCTAATACCATTCTTAAATTCACACCATGATATCTATCTTTTTGTACTTTTTGGTACTGCGGTGAAATTGGCTTAGTAATAACTTAGAGATTTTGTATCCTAGATGAATTCTTTCCTGTGTTTCTTCTTGTTTGCTGTGTTAATCGGTCGAAAGGAGCTTTTTGCTGCATTTGGTTTTTTTGAAAGCCAACCCACTCTAATTGGACTATTGATCATCTTCCAGTTTATTTTTTCACCTTACAATGAGGTAAGTATAATCTTTAAAATTATCTCACATATGCCCTTGCCTGTTTCAAATCTAGAAGCCCCTATGGTTGTAAAAAACACACAAGAACTATCGTTTTTTAACAAGGAAATGAAACAAAGTCTTTTAGTCCCTTGATTCCTTGACCAGTATAAAACAGTAGCAGAAAACCCAAGCCCAAATAAAAGAAGCTTGCATACGGCTAAGGGAAAAAAGTAGAGAATTAGACTTTAGAGCAGGATTATTGGGAAATATGTAAAATGCCCGGCAAATAGCAGATTTTTAAAAATTAGTATTTTTTGGTAAGGGTCATTTGGATGTATATCTGTTTCCGTTCTATTTGCTTGGGGGGGGGGGGGGGCTCAGTATGTAATAATTCCCTCATCCTAGGTTCCCTAGGTACTAGTGATCTTGCTTGGGCTTGCTGTTTCTCTCATCTTGAGCAGAACTTCCTCTCAGTCTGAGCTCTTGAAACCTTCAGGGACAACAAAGAAGTGGGCAGTGGTTAAAACGCTTTTATTTATTTTTTCAGGTTCTTTCTTTTTGCCTCACAGTGCTGAGCCGGAGATTTGAGTTTCAAGCTGATGCATTTGCCAAGAAACTAGGAAAGGCTGAAGACTTATATTCTGCTTTAATCAAACTCAACAAAGATAACTTGGGATTCCCCGTTTCTGACTGGCTCTTTTCCATGTGGCATTATTCCCACCCTCCACTAATAGAGAGACTTCAAGCTCTGAAAGATCCTAAACAAGACTGAGTTGCCCAGCTTCTGCAACCGACGGCATTTCTAATTATTTCTGTCCTGACAGCATGTTTCCGGCTCTTGATGTTTTTAAACTTTTCTTTTTAAAGAAAACTATGAAGTACAGAAAAGTCCAGATTTAAATATATTTAATCCCATTTCAAAAATTATTTTAATAATCCATTTCTCAATGAAAACACTGGATGGAGATTTAAGGCTTGTGCTTTATCTTTAACATTGAATTTATCATCAAGTTGTAGAAAAAAAAATTTTAAGTGAATTTTTAGAGAGAGCAAGAAACCCTGATTTGTTGTTATTTGCACATAAATTGGTTGACTCCTGTATGTGCCCTGACTGGGGATCAAACCTGCAACCTTGGCTTATGGGGATGATGCTCTAACCAACTGAGCTACCTCGCCAGGGCCATTAATTTGTAAAATTTTTGAGCCAGGTAAGGCTTTTGGGGGCATATACTTAAAAAAGAGGATGTACCACCTCTGAGTCCTATCTGTAATACAGAAACTGCTTTCGAAGCACTGTGCTTACACCCAAGTTGAGACTTGTTTTTACTTTCATGCTACTACGATTTAACCTGGCCAATCAGTGTTTTAAATAGAAAGAAAGATAATAATTGGTAAGACTGATGTTGTTTAAATGAAAGTAGTTAGAAATATGCCCTACAATTCTACCAAATTTCTCTGTTCCCTCTCTTGCTACACATTGATCAAGAATTTCCAATAGTGCTTTGAAATTAGCAATTATGTGTAGAATGCTTCAAATCATTGGGTTTAACTTTTGTTTTTAAGAAAATCTTAGTTCTTTATTTTTCCTTCCACCTGGTGAGTATGATCAGACCCATTAGCAGTAAACTAGTATTTTTCAGAACATTCAGCTTTTTCCTCATTCATGCTCTTTTATTCAATAGGTGGTATATTCTTTCACGTGGCAGAAATTGCCATATTGAACAGATTTTGCTATTTTTAAAATGACAGAATGTGGAAAGAAGAGAAATAATATTTTAAGAGACGTAAGGTTGAAAATGCTGATTCTCTTATGATATTATAGGAAAAAATATAGTTTTCTATCTCAAGGACAGAAGAGTTTTGGTTTTTATTTTTATAATTTTTATTGGTAAGTTGTAAGTACTATTTAATCGAGCCTGTTTCCATTTTTTAAAATTACACTTGATATGCAGATAATTTTTCATTTTTAAAACAAATGTCACAAAAGATTTTAAGTTTAAAAAGCTGCATGTTTGACTGCTTCAAATCTCTGTACACTTTCTGTATGAGAACTTTGTGGCTGAACTGCCACCCACGACTAATGCTTACCTCTGGGCATTTATTCCAAAGTGGGATCAACTGTGCACCCTTGGTATCTGGCCAGAAAGGCTTTGCTCAGCTCATAACTGAGTGACGTGTAGGTTAGTACAGCATTATTTATTCCCCAAGGCTAGACGAGCAGTCCTGTGGTCTATCCAGCTTTGTCGTGGACCCATGCTGTGTTAACTGCCTTTCCTCCCTCTGTGCCTTTAAACACAGATTTTAGTTCTGCACAAGTGAGACATTAAAAATCGTCAATTACAGATTGATGTGCTTTGTCTTCGATTTAACAAAATTTGTGCATCGTTTGTCACCTCGCTGTGTTTATATAGAGAACGGAGTTGCTAAGGACACAAAGAATAATGGGAAGAAACAGCCCTGATGCTGAGTGACGCTGACGCATCAGCATGCCTCACTCACACAGGCGTCTTCAGAGTGCCTCCTGCTGACTGAGGTGTCGGCGTTACAGGTTCTTACTGGTGTGTTCGAACAGCGTCGTTCGGAGCCATTCCTTCTCCGCTTTCACGACCCCCAGTTGTCGTGAGCCTGTGTGGTCTGCTCCAGCTGCCTCTTCGGTCTCCTATTGTATGTAGCCGTAGTTAGCTTTAATTGTGTGTAATTAATATGTAATTGTTTCCATCTAGTCACCTACGATGCATGGATGGCAGAGGCAAAGGGGGGCCAGAGTCTCTGGGTAGCTTCCTGAGTTTCGCGCAATTAGGGGAAGGAGTAGGGAGGCCAACCAAAGAGGGAAGGAGGTAGCAGTTTGCATCCCTTGGTGGGTCTGCAGGGGCAGAATGAGGTAGAGCAAGGCCTCAGCTTTGAATTTAAGGCAGAGTCAGCCATGTGTATATATTTGTGTATATATTTGTCTTGGCCCTTTTCTGACATCTGAGAGCTGCTAGTAAATTTTTTTTTTAATTTAATATATTTTATTGATTTTTTACAGAGAGGAAGAGAGGGATAGAGAGTTAGAAACATCAATGAGAATCATTGATCAGCTGCCTCTTGCACAACCCCCACTGGGGATATGCCCGCAACCAAGGTACATGCCCTTGATCGGAGTCAAACCTGGGACCTTTCAGTTCGCAGGCCGATGCTCTATCCACTGAGCCAAACCGGTTTCGGCGCTGCTAGTAAATTCTACCTCTGTTTCGGATAGGAGCAAAATCCCAGGGGTTTAGTGGCTTTAGTACCAATGTCGGTCCCACCTTGCCCTTTACCTTTATATTCTGATTGTCATCCCGTTCCTTTATGTAGCCTTTCCCTCGCTGAGGAAGACTTCTTTCTTTGGCCTTTTTCATCGATCCTCTGGATTCTTTTGTGCATGTATACTTTCTGTAGCTTGGACTTTTTTGAGTGCTCTGTCGTCATTAGCAGAAAGCCGAGTACCACTTGAGGATCTTAAGTTCTGTCCTAGGTGCTATGCAAAGAAAATTACAGAGAACTCCTGTCCAAAAACTTCGGATTCAAGACCACAGTGGTGTGGATGAGGAACTTGTGTGTCAAGTACAGTTTGGTAGGAAGGCAGAAATGACCCATCGAGGCCTGGTGTAGCCCTGTCCAGACAATACTACCCAGGATGGTTGCTAGGGAGGAGGATTTCATAAACAATTTGTCAGAGAGGAAGATATCCCCATGTGTTCTATATATGTATTGCTTTTGTTAATCTCACCTGAGGATATTCTTCCATTGATTTTTAGAGAGTGGGAGGGAGGGGGAGAGAGGCACATTGATTGTTTACCTCCAACCGAGGTAACATGCTCTTGACCAGAATCAAACCTGGGATCCTTCAGTCCGAAGGCTGTGCTCTTTCTACTGAGCCAACCAGCTAGGGCTACCCCCATGGATTCTAAAAACCTGTGAAACCAGCACTGCCCTCCCTCATCCCCCACCCCGCAAGCAGGGTGAAGCCAGCATCTCAGATGATGCCTGCGCTTTGGATCAGCTCCCCATGGCTCTCTGGATGAGGGCTGGTAAACGGGGGGTGTGACTTAAGAGTAAGATCCAGGGCTCGAAAACTCAACACACCAGGTACTAGTGAGCCTTTGAGCAAGAAACTTCACTGAGCCTTCATTTCTCCACGTGCTGCTAGTGAACAAATAATGAGCCCCCACTCCGTACCAAGTTCTGCTCTAGGTGCTGGGGAATACATTAATAAATTAACAATAGAGCCGAAACTGGCCTGCGGACTGAAAGGTCCCAGGTTCGATTCCAGTTAAGGGCATTTACCTTGGTTGCGGGCACATCCCCAGTAGGGGGTATGCAGGAGGCGGCTGATCAATGTCTCTCTCATTGATGTTTCTAACTCCCTAACCCTCTTCCTTCTTCCTTCCTTTCTGTAAAAAGTTAACAAAATATATTTAAAAGTAAAAAAAAAATAATAAATAAATTTTTTTAAATAGACCTTGGGGAGGTACAGTGAATAAAAAAAAAACAGAAAATAAAGGAACAATAGAAAAATCCCACCTCGTGGAGTTAACATTCTAGTGGGGACAATAAAAATATATAAAATAGATATTAAATGGTGATAGATGTAGAGAAACGAGGGCTTGAGGTGTTTGTGTGGGATGGTGGTGGGATTGTAATTTTAAATAGGATGGTCATAAAAAGACATCGCCGAAAGTAATGTTTGAACAAAGAGCTGAGAGGTGAGTGGGCGACCGAGGCAGATGGTAAGGGAGGAGCGTCCAAGAAGAGGGAACAAGTGTAAAGACTTGGTGCGGGAGCGAGCCTGGTGTGTTTGAGAAACACCAGGCGGCCAGCGTGGCTGGGACGAGGTGTGCTGGGAAGACGGGAGACAGAGTCAGAGTAGAGATGAAGCAGGTTTTACAGGGACTTTCAGGCCATTGTAGGAACTGGGGAGAGAGGAGAGGCTAGTAAGCGGAGTTCTCTGCCTGTGTTGGCCAGAGGAAAAGGATGCTCCAGTGTAGGTGGGGACTTCCAGCCAAGTTTAAGGTGACATGTAGGAGGGCCCAGACTTCAGAAAATGCTCAGACCTGAGTCCTGTGTCTCCCAAAGGGTCTGGGGCTGGCAGATGTTTTATTTGGGGGAACAAATGCCCAAGTCAATAATGGAGCAAAGGGATTGGTTACCCCCTGAATTTCGAAATCTTCCATCTTTGCATGGGTCAGACACACTTGCCACACCCTTCCCTGCTCCTGCTGCTTGGAAGAGTCTTGCTAGGTGTGGAGACGCAGAGGCCCTCCTGTGTGCCAGGCCCTGGCAAGACACCAGGTGTGCTCTGCTGCAACGATTTTCAGCCTCTTTCATCTCAGGGCACACACAAACTGAATAAAATTCTGTGGCACATCAAAAATATTTTTTTGCTGATCTGACCAAAAAGTGTATAATTTTTATTGATTTACAAAATAATAATAGTAATTATCTACTCTTTTTGCTCCAAAGTGACTTTTTTAAAAATCGGGGGGCGGCGGGGGGTTAGTTTGGCTCGGTGGATAGTGTCAGCCTGCGGACTGAAGGGTCCCAGGTTCAATTCCGGTCAAGGGCGTGTACCTTGGTTATGGGCATATCCCCCAGTAGGGGGTGTGCAGGAGGCAGCTGATCAATGTTTCTGTCTCATCGATGTTTCTAACTCTCTATCCCTCTTCCTTCCTCTCTGTAAGAAAATCAATAAAATATATTTTAAAAAATAATATATATATATATATATATATATATATATATTTTTTTTTTTTTAATGGGGGGTGAGTAATAAGTAAATAATCAGGGGACTATACTTGTATATAAGAATTTCTGGTGCCAAAAATTAACCAATCACATACAACCTTATTATGCGACATGACTAATAAAATGCAACTCTATTATATGACATATATTTGTGTTTAAGACGTCACACCAGGCAGCTGTTGTGTTGGCTGTTGTCATTTTTTAATTTGACAATCTAAAAGAAAAGAGGTAGTACCCCTGAACTAAATAGGTATTGCATGTTTTAAAAATTCTTTCAGCAGCACACCAGTTGAAAATTGCTGCCCTACTGGGACAAATAACATCTGGCTGAGTCCTTGTCACAGCTGTACAGAGGCTGGGGAGGGATTTGCTCAAAATTACACAACAGGTCACCGTCCTGACCATCCCCAGGTTCTTCCATCAGATGTCCCTCAGGCATGGGGTGCCATCCTAACGCCCACAATTCGGGATGTGCCCAGATGCCGGTACCCCACCCCCTGCCCTCCCTCTTCGGAGTGGAGCCCCTGACCATCCTGCCCGGGTAGTGGAGGCCCAGCCCCAATCCATAAGAAATTAAGCCCAACAACTCGCATCCCATCCTGGTTTGTAGCCAAGCTGTGGGCTTTTATTTACAGAAAGGCCTGTATGGATCTAGGGGAGGGAGGATGGGAGAAGGTGATGCCAGAAAGAGAAGGGAGTGGATGTTTAAATACTCAGGAGGGAGGCAGAAAGGAATTGGTAGGGATGGCTTAAGGGTGGCCACCTCAGGTCGTCCCCTATCGGCAGTCATCCAGTAAGCCCGGGGGTGAATGGGTTAGGGACCAGCCGAGACCTCAGTCCATCTGCCCCAGGGACAAGACGGTTGGTGGAGGATGGCGCAGATTAAGGAGCTATTGTTTGGGTAAGAGCTGAATTACGCTCCAGGAAGAGAAACACCCCATCCTCTGGAGCCTGGACTCTCCAGGGACACTTGTCCATTGGCCTCACCTTTTCACTCCGATGCCCTCCCCTCCCTTCCCTCATGTTCTAGAATTTTCTTTTCTCAAGACTCCTTCCTGGGTCCCAGAGAGAGGTCCTGGGAAAGCTAGTTTCCTGGGCTGAGGGATGGGTTGCATGTCTATCCAGGGGGTCCAGAGGGGACCTATTCCCCCCAGGATGCCTGCTGGGCTGTGGCCTGGCTGCTGCTCATGGGCCCTTGATGGACCCGGGCTCTGTGAGGCGGGCAGCGGCGTAGGCGGAGGCTCCCAGGCAGGCTGCGGGCTCACAGAACCCTGGCAGCCCCACAGGGCCGGGCAGGCCGGGCCGGCCTCCCTCTCCGGGGGCTCCTGCGGACCCGCGGTCTCCGTCTTTGCCATTGATGGCCTGGCCAGGCCGGCCAGGGAGTCCTGTGAATGGGAGAAGGTCAAGACATCAGGGCTTGCTCCTGTCCCAGCTCTGGAACTGGCCATTTTCCAATGGGGACCATGAAGCCAGGGACACCGCAGGAAGGGGCTCTCTCTACCCCAGATACATGGATCGAGAGTCACATGTGCTTGTCCATTAATCCCAGCCCCCAAAACAGGGACTCTGAGGA